CAAAAACCCATAGGGATGTTAAACCCCCTTGACCAATTGACGATCCTTTTTCTAAGGTTATGATTTTTTTTTTAAATTAAATCCCACAAACCATAAAATCAATATGATAACAATATGATAAAATAACAATAAATAAACAATAAAAAAATAAATATGGAAAGGAAAACATGCCATAAATAGAAAGAACCCAAAAACCCTAGACCTAAAAAGAGGGGGGAAATCTAACCCTAGGGTTGTGTCCCCAACAGAGTCTCCAGCTGTCGTAACTGACAAAAAATAAGAGTCGTCACCATTACTTTTTTGTCCTAAGGAAGGGAAAGAACTGATAACCCTAATTTGGTTTAGAGATTCTAAGTTCGTGAGTTGTTTAGATGAAGGGAAGGTGTTAGGCACCTTTCATCTCCCTTGTTCTCAAGGGGCTTCACTTCTAGGTTTCGTGGTAAGTCGGAAAATTCCTATTTAACTGCATTGTTTCCATGTATTTAAGAAAGTGTTTAATTTTTTAGTAGCGGGACTCGCCTTGGTTTTAAGTGTGTGCCTATGTATCCTCTTACGAAGAAATCAGAGTTTATTTTGTAGTTCGTATGTGTTTGGTTGGTTTTTTTATAGAATTGCGTAGAATTTATTTTGAATTGCTTTGCTTCTAGCTACAAGAATGCATTGCTTAACCAAAGACTTTACTTCATTCGAGGCGCATTTTCCAATAGTTTTTGGTTAACAGATATTCTATGATGGAGAGAGAGAGCCTTAATTGGTTGCAGATAAATCAATCTAAATTAAGAGTTGGTAAGTATTACAACTTACAACAATAGGATGGTGCCGGTACTTCACAACAAAGTTCTAAACAAGGAAAGTGTGTTGTTTTACCTTCCACTTTTGTCGGTAGCAAAAGGTACATGGACCAACTATATTTTGACAGGATGGTGAATTCAAATAAATTGGGTTTCCCAGACCTATTTATAACCTTTTCCTGCAATCATAATTGGCCTAAAATCAAACGATAATTAGAACCCAAAAATTTACATGCAAACGGTCGTCCTAATATTGTAGCAAACGTATTCAAAATAAAATTCGACCAACTTATGCGCGATATAACAAATATCCATGTCCTAGGGCATGTTTTAGAATGTAAGTCAACCATCCACATTTATGTGTATAATTTAATTATCATTATTATCTTATCTATTTATATTATTGTATTTTGATCTTTCAGTTATGTATACAATTGAATTTTGCCCACGAAGTAAAGTATTCAATCAAGATATTTATGGACATTGATCGAATAATTTGCATCGAAATACCTGACCCCGCACTTCATCCAACTTTGTACAACTTAGTCAAATTGCATATGGTCCATAGACCTTTTGGTTTGTCTAGGAAATCAACACACATCATTCAGAAAAATAGAATCCCATTAGACAATAGACATGTTGTCCCCTACAACACAAAGTTACTTTTGAAGTACCAGGCACATATCAACATAGAGTGGTGTAATCAAAGTATTTCTATCAAGTATCTATTCAAATATAATCACAAAGGCTTTGACATAATTAATGCGTCCGTTGTACATACTTTGTGGCTAAAATCTGATGCTAGCAAAGTCGTTGATGAAATAGAATAATATCTTGATTGTCGATATGTATCTCCTTGTGAGACAACATGGAGAATCTACGATTACAACATTCATGGGAGGAAGAAAGTTGTTGAACGTATGTTTTTCCACCTAATTGGTGAGAAGACACTTTTCTACACCGATTAATCCCGAATAGAGAATGATTTAGAGAAGGCAAGCATCACAGAGTCTATGTTTTCATCATGGTTAATTGAAAATCATACTTATGAGCAGGCCATGAAATTAACGTACGGTCAGTTTGTCACGATGTTTGTATACCATAAAAGATTTAGAATGTGGAAGCTTCGGAAAAAAGGGTTTACAATTGGCCGTTTGATTTGGGTTCCACATTCTACAAGAGAACTATATTATCTATGAATGATGCTGACAGCTGTGAAGGGACCTAGAACTTACGAGGAAATATGAAAGGTTGGGGATACACAATACGAATCATTTAGGGATGCATGTTTTGCTATGGGTTTCCTTGAAGCTGGCCAGGAATACATCTGAGCCATTAAGGAAGCCAGTGAATGGGGGCCAGGTGATTTTCTTTGAATGCTTTTTATGGGTATGCTTCTATCAGGCAATGTCAACAGACCTACCCGTGTCTGGAAGGAGTTGTGGGTTTTACTGTCGGATGGTGTGTTGCACCAACAGAGATAGTTGGTTAATGACAAAGGTTTAATTTATAGTTCAAATAAGATATGCTCTTAGTTGTAACTATTAGCTTATATTTAATTCATCAGTCTTTTCCATTCAAAATTATTATGTCTCGCCCTTATAGCTTTTATATGTTTACTATGTTCCTGGTCTGAAGTAAATTTTTGTGTATATGAACTTATTTTGAGTGAAATGCAGCTGATGAAATTCACTTTAATGGAGATTAAAAAACTTCTAAAACTCAATCAAAGAACTCTTAAAGACTTCAAACTGATACCATATCCGGATGGATATGTGTTGGAGCAACTCGACAATCGACTCATATACGAGGAACGTAGTTACGACATTCAAACCATGAAGGATTAGTTCCAAACACTCCATGTCGCTCTCACGGGTACTTACATCTAACATATTATAGAAAATGGTTTTTCACACCTACATTATATATATTTCCATTTCTAAATTTTTCCTTTTAAATATATGAACAGCGCAATATCTATGAAAGAATAATAAATGTCATTAGAAGTCAGAGAGGGGGAGTTTTCTTCCTGCATGGTTATGAGGGTGCCGACAAAACCTACATGTGGAGAATACTCACAAGTGCACTTAGGTCTAAGCACGACATCTTCATAACTGTTACAACCAGTGGAATTGCATCATTGTTGTTACCCGGTGGGAGAACTACTCACTCAAGGTTCAAAATACATGTCCCTATGTTGGATAACTCAAATTGCAATATTAAGTACAACAATAAAGTTGTATATCTACTTCGGCAGGCCAATTTAATTATTTGGGACGAGGCTCCTATGGCCAACAAATGATGCTTGAAGCACTTGACAACACATTGCAGGATCTAATGTGTGTTAGTGGCAAGCTCAGTGAGGTGTTTGATGGCAAGGTTGTTGTGTTTGGTGGAGACTTTAGGTAGATTTTAATGGTAATACCCAGGGGATCAAGATCTGACATTATGCATGTAACCATAAACGCTTCCTACATTTGGCACTCGGTACAGGTGTTGACCTTAACCAAAAATATGCGTCTGAGCAATGGTCGAACTGAACACGAGTGGAAGGAAATAGTCGAATTCTCCGGTTGGCTTCTGAAAATAGGGGAAGGTAGATTGAGAGGTCCAAATGATGGGACCACTGAGATAGAATTTCCACCAGAAATGCTAATCACACAGTTCGAAGATCCTATTGTAGTGATTGTCACGAGTACGTATCCAGATTCCCTCAATAATTACAGTGACTACATCTAACTAAAGACTAGGGCTATCTTGGCATCAACCATCGATATGGTTGACAAAATAAATGATCATGTTTTATCCATGATGCCAGGTATGTTTACATCCTATCAACATTTAATCAACTTTATATTTAACTTAACAATGGGACCTTAATGTCTCGCATTGTTTTGCTTTAGATGACTTGAGGGATTACTATAGTTGCAACCCTGTTAACCGATCGGAGATACATGACAGGGACATGCTTGATGTTCTCACTCCATAATTTTTGAGCTCTTTAAAAACTGGTTTGCCTAACCATCACATCAAGCTTAAGATTGGAACACTCGTTATGCTAATGCGGAACATTGATCAGTCCAAAGGGTTATGTAATGGTACATGCCTAATTGTGAGAAAGATGGAGTCGCATGTACTTGAGGCACATATTATGGGGGTCAAAGGAATGGCAACATTGTCTATATTCCCCGGATGGATATGTCCCCTTCTCAGTCTCCTTGGCCTTTCAAGCTCATCTAGAGACAATTCCCAATAATAGTCTCATACGCGATGATGATTAACCATTCACAAGTTAAATTGGGTGAGTCTTTATATTCCTTGGGATGTATTTAATCGTGGAAAAATATATGTCACACTTTCAAGGGTTACCAACAAGAAAGGAATCAAAGTTTTGATACACGATGAAAACAACACTGCTAAAGTTTCTATAACAAAAGTGGTTTACAAGGAGGTTTTCAACAACGTCTGATCTGGCCTTCTTATTACACATACGTAGGCTTAACATTTTGTACCTTTTATGTGGGATAACTACGATTGCACAATTTGGAGAGTTTATCCCATGCTTTAGGTTGGTTGTATATTGCAATGTTACTATTATGCCTCATTAAGGGTATAAGTCTTCTTATTTTGATGTTAATATACACACTGCAAATTGATATATAACATTGTAGTTCATGAAATTATATATTAATATTATTATAACATGATTACACTATAAAGGAGGACAATACAACATTTGTTTTGAAATGGTAACATAGTAAGCTACAACACAAAATAGCTTATCTCACTTATGGATAACCTGAATGCAAACGTCAAATCAGAATAGGTTGGTTCTTATTAAGCTACAACACAAAAAACTAAGAGAATATAATTTACAAATAACGAACCTTATATATGTGGCATGTTTTGTTGGTGTCACTTACATCCAATCTGAATCTAGTTTTTTCTCCGGCTCTGAACTGGTTTGACTTGCAAAACTCGTCCCATTCATAAGTTAACTTAGTACGTTGTGAATCTTCTATGTTTAAAATCGAGAGAATTTGAGTCCTTCTATTGTCTCCGCAAAGTGTCATAACCTCATATTCGTGATCTCTCAACACCCTTGCAAACTCTGGCTACAATTGCTACATAAATAGTACAGTTTGAGATCAGTCAAATGAGGTAACACATGACAAAATAAATCATATGTAGTGATTTGAAACAAAATTTTCACTCAACTAATTTTGGTTTGGACACAGTAATTGGTGAAAGATCGACATCAAATGCATATATCCATATATGGTTGATGAACCTACTATGAAAATTCGGTAATTCCTCGAATGCGGTTATCTCTTTAAACCCGACAACCTCAAAATTGTTGTTCCCGTAATAACTGACAATAATAACCACGTCATTTGGTAGTGTGTAATACTTTTGCAGCTCCGTCCAACCACCGATAACAAGTGGTAGATCCTCATTTTTGTTGAAAAATATATCATGATGGGTACCTTCGTTGTTTAGTATCCTCCATGTTTTTCCTAGATCTGTTATGTGACTTCTAATAAACAAAGGCTCAATCTCCAGAAAATACTACATTCAAATCAATTACATATGTAGAGTTAATATACGGAGTTATTCATTTTTTGTTTGATTTGGGATACTCGTTTCAAAAGATAAAAAAACCACCCTTACTTGAAAAGATAACTTTTCAATTGCAAGGGTATCCACGAGCTCTGACTGAACAAGTTTTCCACTTCTAGTCATTGATGTTAATAATTGAGCATAGTAAGAGAGGAGGTGAACATTTTTGCCCAGATCTATTTCTTCAGTTCACAGATGGATGTTACATGCATTTACTTATGCTTACAGCCTAAGTCAATATTTATGAGGCAACCATCTTCACGTGTGAATAGTAGGTCCCAAATAATTAATGACATGCACCTACCTTCAGTGACTCTTGGACATTATTTATGTTGCCTTAATGGTGGGCACCTGTTATTTTTAAGCACGTGTAAAAATTAGACCATATTGCATTGGAAATTACTTTTAGTACCATACAAAAATTATTGATAACAACAATACCACATGTTAATATTCATAAATATGTCCTAGAAATACAATTAAGGCAATTTTTGTATACAACAGAGTGTTAAGCCTACTACTACATCTCATTACAATAACTACAGCTAACTCACTTTAACACAATGAGATACTAATTTTTGTTTCTTTGCATAAGCTAAACAAAAATTACATAAAAGGATAGTGTGATACGGTGGGAGAACTGACTTGAGGGTTTTGCGTTTTATCGCAAATGTTGCGGTTAACAAGAGTCGCCACCGACTTTTCTTTTATCCAAAAGGAAAGGTGAAAAAGCACAGGAAAGACCTTTGAGATTGTTTCTTGAGTTCGGGGGTAGATTATGAAAAGGGAATGTGTTATCACCCTTTTCATCCATGGTTTTCCATGGGATCTTAGTTACTTATTTAGATCACTTGCTTTTGTTTATTTGAAATTGTGTTTAGTGTGATTTTGAAAGTATTTTGTAAAAGAGGCCATTCGTTTAGGCAATCTTTGTAATGATTCTCGTTCGTAAGAATGTATACAGAGATGTTTGTATTTTGAAAATGTTTTCAATGATTGTAAGATGTTTTGAAATGTGTGTGTCTGTTTTGAAAATAGCAAGGATTCTTGTTTGAAAATAGAGCAAGTAACTAGAAACCATCTACCTACTCAAATGTCTTTCTTGTTCATTTTCTATTCCTTTGACATTGTTGTCTTACCATTGATTTGGTAAGCAACCCTATCTTTAGATGTAAACGGGACGGGTGTGAGTCATCGTATATCCATGGTTAGCAATGTTTGCAAAGTATCTTAGCATTTTGAGGGACCAAGATCATTTTGTAAGGCAACTTTTGAATAGTGTCATCGAGGGACTATGATCTTATATTTGCTTTGTTTTGCCAAGATACTTCGCATGCATAATATGGTCATTTTATATAAGGCAACCAAGTGGAGAAACCCTAAGGGTGCTTGTGTGCAAGTGTATCATTTTCATGCTTTGATTTTGTCTTGTATTTAGAGTTTTCTATTTTGCTTTGCTTTGCTCTTGTCATACAAACCCTAATTACTAATCATGGCATATAAAGCGATAAATTGCGTAATGTAAATATTTCTAAGCTATTACAACAATTTATGGGAGGGGGAATACAAATTTGAATGGGGATTTGCAAAAATATAAAACTAAATAAATTATTACAACCAAATCGAATTTGTACGAATTAGAAAAAATACAATACAATATTTAAAATGCAATGCAATGTACATGTAAGAAAAGATTTTTTTTGTTTTGTTTTTATGTAAAAGAATTTTTCATCTAAACCTAAAAATATAAAGAAAATGAATTAATTTTTAAAAGGGGTTTAACCCTAATTTCTATTTTAAAATAAAATAAAGTTCTTATGTGTATTTTATGTATTTCTTGTATAAAAATAATAGATAATATTGTATAAAAAATATAAAATATTTATATATGCAAAAATAAATATTTATAGGTATGAAATAAAAAAAATAAATTAAACTACACATGTTTAAATTATATTCACAAGTTTATTAAGAAAATAAATGATACCTTATTAAATAAATATATATTTTTATGTGAGAAATAAACTAAAAATAAAATGAAAGTGCAATATTATTAATTTATATTTTTTGGGATTTTTATGTATTATAGAAAATATTTAAATATATTAAAAATGAAAATAAAACAAATAAAAAAAATGTAAAAAGTTGGCAAGGGGGTGATGTAGCAGATTAGTAGTGATGATAGTAGAAAAAAATCTTGGCCCAAAAGACCAAGCCCAACCTGCAAAAATAGCAAAATGGAAAAGGGAAAAAATGTGAAAAATACAAAAGTAGCGCGCAGGTTCGAACCCAGGACATGGGTCTCACCAGCGCGCTACTTTGCCACTGGGGTGGCTATACTTCCATTGTCTTAAGGAAAACAAAAACAATATAACCCAAAATAAGCCCTTGCCATGTACTTCATCTCCTTCCTCAAGCTTGGCCAGACATCCTGTAACTCTCTCATACTTCCATAAAAATGAAAACTCATAACATGAAAGTTGTAGTATTTAAACTCACGATTCCAACCATATAAGTTATGTAAGCTAACTATCAAAGATCAAAGAGAATTTTAACAGCCCTAAATTTTAACCTAATATTTTCAGAAATTTCAAGTTCCAAATTCTCCCAGCTCAAGTAAAATTAATGCAAGATAAGGATATGTACAGCTTCGTTATGATGAGGACTACATTTTTTATTCACAACTCGTGGCCTATGGTTGCCTGTTGTTGTACCCCAAAATTTGCCCTCCCATTTTCTCAACATTTTTCTCATCACAAGGTCCTTGGAGCTCAAGATCCAGTTACGGTTTCCTCTGCAAGACTTCTCCTAGCACTGTTGACCCAAATTAGGGTTTGTGTTTGCACAAAGATATTTTGACCTAAAATGCCTAAGATGACTTTCATGCTTCATGTTGGACTCCCAATTTTATCCATACCAAGTTTCAAGCCTTGATTCCAACCTTTGCCCAGTCAATTGGACAATTGACCTAGAAATCAGCTGTATTGGGGAAAAAGTCAACTGTGGCCAATTGACAGTCAAACCTCATGGAAATTGACCCACATCAACATTATGAACTCATATGGACCATTTGATCAAGTTTGGATCACAATTCCACAAGAAATTTGATCAGATCACCAAAAGGGCAAAATGGTCATTTTTAGGGTTTTGACTGCACAAAGGCAATTTTTGACTGTTTGACCTAGCCAATGGCAAACCAGGATCACATACGGACTCAAGGACCCCATGGAATTGTTTTGACATACTCAACAACTTCAAAAGATCCCAAATGCACAAGGTTGACAGTTGAATTTTCCAGTCAATTGATCAATTTTTGACTGTATACTGAAAAGTCAAACTTTGACTTTTTGGTCAAAATCAAGTGTCAAGATTCATTTTTCATCAAAATATGCCAAATCATGAAACTTGTTCATCAAGAAATCAAGAATCACAAATTAGGGTTTGAAATGAAGATTTTTTATAACTTAGAATTTTTCTAAGTTATGAAAAACCCTAATTTTTTCCTAACTTTGTCCCACTTTCTCATCAAGATGCATTTGGATTCAAGGAAAAGTAAAAACATGAAAGTTGTAGTCCATTTCAAAATCTATAACTTTGATTCACAAAGTTTTCTCAAAAGAGGATTGTAGCTCAAGTTACAATTTTTGGAACAAGGGTGCAAAACATTCTTAACTTAGAAAAATTTTGACCTATTTTAGGCAAGATTTTTGCCTAACTTCAAGACCACTTTTCACATACTTCCACTTGGAATTTAAATTTGCATTACAAAGATGGATTGTAGTACACATTCCAAGCTTTCCAAAATGTCCAAGAACTCATCAAACAACTTCATGGTTAGGGAGAATCGAATTTGGCAATATGGGAAAAACTCACTTTGTTTATGGCCAATTTTCATGTTCATACACTTAGGCAATTTTGAACTCAGCTTGCATTCCTTGATTACAGGTCCTATATCCCATTTGCACTCATAAATTTAATGCTAACTCATTGTGCCAAGACCTTATTTTATGTGTTTAAGCATTGTATGCAAAATTAAGCCATAAGTAGAAAAAGCATTATATCCATTTTAGAAAAGTTGAACTTTATGTCAAATGCAAATCCAAGAAGCATAGGCACAATCTTTTGAGCTGGTATTTTGTACACAAATCACTCTAACCAAGACTAATGTATGCAGCATAGATTGGGGGCCTGCACAAGTCTAGAACACAACTTGGCATTTTGTTGCTTAAAGGTGAAGAAAACTTGCATAACAGCTACCAACTCTCATCTCATCCAACACAACCTTAAGCAAAGTTTTTGTACACATTCAAAACACAAAACCTAAGCTGAAACACAAGCCAACCAAGTTCCAAACATCCTCAAACACAGAATCACCATTAAACTGCAAAAACAGGGCATAAGCTGCAGTTGGACTTCCATAGCTCATTTCCCTTGTGCACCTTGACCAAAAACACTTCAAACACATCCCACACCATCCCTTGAAACTATTCCAAGCCCTAAACACGGCCTGTAACACCCCTAGCTAACATCACCATTTTCATATTTTCTATTTTGCAGTTGGAGTGCCATAACACGATTCACTTGGTTTCAAGGCATACCAAGCATTGGAATAGCATCCCTGGACATCAAGGAAGCTATACAAATCATTACCTTGCCTTGTAAGCATCTCCATTGTTGCACACAATTCCAACTGAACAGGTAAGTTCATGAAATCTTATCTCTCTATCCAGGCATAGTTAGGTTTAGATTTGTGAAGAAATTATGTCACATTCATAGCCCTGAACATGCCCATATCTTTACTTTCCATTTATTTTGCATGTGCTATGAGAATTTTAAGTCTGAACATTGAATAAAAACTAGGTCAGGAATTGGGGGAGAAGAAATTCTCTCTCATTTCTGAGAGTTAGGATGAGTTCTTTATATGTCCAGAATCGTGGTTTGATGCTTAACACTTTTCATGTTGTGAGTTTGTGCTAAAAATCAGGGAATCTGGAGATAGGAAAACGCGCGTTTTTGTTGATTCAAACAGGTTCTGAGGTTGAAGACAAAGTCTTCTTGGGCTGGGCCTGAGTTTGACTTCCTATTTGCACCTTGTTTTTACTTTTGAACCCCCTTGGCCCATT